TGAAAGTATGGGAGGAACATTAAATCTGTGGAAAAGATAACAATATCCATCCAGCTCCAAGTTTCCAACCCCCTCATGTAACAAACGATCATTATCGAGATGTAGTCTCTATGCTCTGCTCGCTGTGTCAGAGCTTTTATTGCCGCTAATGTCACTGACAGTAAAGTAACCACAGTCATTTTGCCGAATACTCTGTGATGTTGGGACTTGAGGCGGAAGTTGTGAAACGTCGACGTCCCCGGGGTGTGTGTGTGTGTGTGTGTGTGTGTGAGAATGTGTGTGTGTGAGAGAAATGTGTGTGTGTGTGTGTGTGTGTGTGTGTTGTGTGTGTGTGTGTGTGTAGCAGCGGGTGAGCCAGTGAAGTGATGGCAGGGGAAGAGCCGACACTCAGAGAGGAATGAGAACTTGTCGGGGATGGCGGACAAACCTCTGACATTGTTCGTGAAGCTGTTTGCCGCTGGGTTTTACGGTGTGAGCTCGTTTCTCATCGTCGTGGTGAACAAAAGTGTCCTCACCAACTACAGGTAACGGTCTTCGCTAACGCCTGTAACGGTCGTAGCGGTGGTTGAAAAAGGCTACCGTGTTAGCTAACCTAGCAACTGTTGGCTGGAGAGAGGAGCCAACACGGTGGAGATTATTAGCTAGCGGCAACTTTTGGCTAGCGAGGGCTGGCCGTGTGGTACAGACTGAAATAGGACAGCTTCACTCACAGTAGCATTGTAGGAAGCTATGTTTGAATATACCAGGGTTAAGTAGGAGGTTAGCTACAGTGGGCTCGGGCTGTAGGCTGTAATGTTCACTGGGACTTCATGGACTAACTCACTCTGCTGTTCCTTTCAGGTTCCCTTCTTCAATATGTGTCGGAATTGGACAAGTAGGTTCAATGCTTTTCCCTCTTTGGGCAACGATATTCCCTGAAAGCAGGCAGAGTTGAAGTAATTCTCTGTTACTGAATGTGTGTGTGTGTGTGTGCAGATGTTGGCCACAGTGGTTGTGCTGTGGGTGGGCAAGGCTGCGAGGGTGATCAGCTTCCCAGACTGTGATGAGAGCATACCTCGTAAGGTGAGACCCACCGATCCATCTCTCTAAGATGATGTGCATTGCACCCCGATCAGTTTTGGGGTTTTTTCTCACAGTATGTACATGTTTTCCCGGTTTTGCAGACGTTTCCTCTACCTCTCCTTTATGTGGGAAATCAAATCACTGGTCTGTTTGGAACCCAAAGGCTGAAGTAAGTCTGTGAATGATGGTTACAGGGAAGTTGGGTCAGTGCCATCATGAGCTCACTGCGCACGGCTGTTGACGTTTGGCCAAGTTTAAGCGATTTTTTTTTGTCCTCTCCCACCAGTTTGCCGATGTTTACTGTCCTCAGGAGGTTCTCCATCTTGTTCACAATGCTGGCTGAGGGACTTTTGCTCAAGTAAGATTGCACAAGAGATATCCCACTTTTCTCAGTCATCTCCTGGTCCTTTTAGTCACCGAGACACTAAGCCGTTCTCTTTGTGCCGTATTGGCAGCTTTTATTTAGAGCAGCCAGATTGAATTTCATTGCTGTACTGTCTTTGACCTTTGGCAGGAAGAAATTCTCCAGGCCTGTCCAGCTCACAGTATTTACAATGATCCTCGGGGCGTTTATAGCCGCAAGGTAAGTTCTGCTACATCCAGGTGTCCTGGCTGTTAACCAAACCAGAATTACCTTCACTACAAAGGGTTGTTCAGTCCTGATATATGTCCACACTTAAGTTATATTGTCTTTAGGGTCATTAGACACATGTATATTTGTAGTTAAAGGAGTCCTGCTGAAACAGAGCATGCCCGAAGCTAAATCGTTAGTGATAGCACAATAATTTACTCCCATGACACTTTCTTTCGTTTTCTCTCATCCCTTTTTCCTAGTGCTGACTTGTCCTTTGACCTGCATGGCTACGTGTTCATTCTCCTGAACGACGTGCTGACTGCAGCCAACGGAGCCTATGTGAAACAAAAATTAGATGCGAAGGTATGTGGCAGCCCCGTTTGATGAATAGTAACCATTGTTGGGTTGGAGCTGTTTTTGGCTTTGAGCTGATGTTGGTGAATGTAGAGAACCCAAACTGTCCTTCAGCAGCTGGCTTGAAGGAACGCAGTGTACACAAACACCCTGAGTTATTTTTACTCCCTGCTAAGTTGATTTAATAATCACTGTTTGAATCGGTTTTTGTAGAGAAAGTATCATTTGTGTGTAAAAGTTGTGCTGCTTTAGTATTTATTTTGCATTATTTTAAGTAGGTTAATTACAGTTGAGTTAGAAATGACTTGTAGCTTGTTTTAGTTGTTTTTCTTTATGTCACATGAGCAGACTGTGTAGCTCTCACATTACAGCAGAGGCAGAACTGATCCAGATTTAGTCTGGTGGTGTCTGTAGACCACCAGCTGCTAATACTAAGACATAGAGAGATATGTGAGTGTGATATTGTGAGGAATCCAAGGATGAAGCCCCATGAAACAGAATCAAACAAATGCAAACAAGAGGTTCTAGGTAGTGCAGCGGGCTGGCCATGCATGACATCTGTACGCTAGTTAGTGAGGAATGCACAGAAAGATTTGTGAATAACCCTCTCTGTTCTGACTCTCGTATTTTTTCCATGTTCCTCTTGCTCCCTGCTCATCTATCTTTATGCTCTTTCTCGTAGGAGTTGGGGAAATATGGATTGTTGTATTATAACGCATTATTTATGATCCTTCCCACTCTACTGTTGGCTCATGTGACTGGAGATATGCAGAAGGTAAGCACTTCCTTTATTCAGACCTCCAAACATCTTTATTCATGCGTTCATGGTTTTTATTCATTAGATTTGCGGAATGTAACTGTGGTTAAACTGTCAAGTTAAGTCTTTGTAGTTAGTTTATGGTGTTGGAACTGATCAGTCATTGCTTGGTTTAATCCTAAATTGACGTGCGCACATTATTGTGAGCATGGGTGTGTGCCGTAAATATGAGCTGCCTGTTTGTTGGTGAGTGTTGGCAGAGACCCTCTGGTTCGCCCAGCTGGGGCCCAGCAGCCAGGAAGGCACAAAGCAGCTATTATGCACCTAGTAGAGTTATTACAGCAGCGCCTACAACCTCTCTTGACTGAATAACCTCAGTAGAGATACAGACCACTACCTTTTAAAGCTCTTGGAAACTCAGTGTTTAATTTTTAAGTATGCACATCTTAGTTGTGTCATTGCCGTCAACTCCCTAAAATGTGATCAGCAACTCTGCAGTACTCCACTGAATGGCAGACAGGATATGTCCATAAGGAGTGACTTGAATTTTTGACTCATTTTGAATACACAATTACCTTGTTATGTAGCATTACTGTTTTTGATGTATGCTTTCTATGTGTGTGCGTTCACTTTTGGAGTTCAGTTGTTTCTTGTGCTTCTTTTCTTAGGCAGTGGAATATGATGGTTGGTCAGATGTGTTTTTCCTCACCCAGTTCATCCTCTCTTGCATCATGGGGTAAGAATACAGGCCAAAGCTTACACAGCTTGCATGCATGTGCAAGCAGGCAGCATTGTGTTTTGTGCCAGAACTGAACACCTGGATTTCACCGAAACTCTGTGGCTCTGTGGTTATATCAGTGACTGAAATCTAGACACTAGGCCACCTTTTAAAGCTCACATTCACTCTTTGTCAACTGTTTCACATTATGAAATATGCCTTTGTGAAAGTGCGGAGTCATTTGTAATATGATAATATGGTTGTTTTGCAGGTTTGTTCTGATGTATTCCACTGTGCTTTGTACACAATACAACTCTGCATTAACAACTACGATTGTGGGCTGCATCAAGGTAAGCTCAGATCTGTGTGAAGTAGGGATGCTCGATATTGGCTTCTCTGCCGATATCCGATATTCCGATATTGTGCAACTCTCAATTTCCGATACCGATATCACCCGATACCGATATATTGCAGGCTTTTTACACCAAAACTGTTAGGTACAACAGTAATTCCTTTGTGCGAATTAACACATTATGCTCGATTTTATTTGATTGCCCACTGGATCATACATAAAGGCAACATGGCTTTCCCAAATGTAAACATGTGCTGTCAAAATAAGAGAACAACTTCAACTGTTCATTTGTTTAATACTGAGCCAATTGCTAGCTACGCCCGCTATATCGCCTACTAAGCGCTACTTTCGGTTAATGTGTTTAATTGGTATTATGCACCTAAGCGGTGGCTATGTAAATTTCTAAGCTCAATTGTTGTTTGTGTAAGAACAGCTCATAGCAGTCAATATATTTAATAACTTATTTTGCTGTTAATATAAAATCATTCAGCTTTAAAGGTGTTTGCTTATAAGCCATGGTTAGCAGACAACCAGTCTTAGCGTGTAGTTGGTTTTGTGTTGTTGTTATACGGGCTCATCTAGCGCGCGCCGGTAAACGTCCATGCTGCGTTCATGCAAACCGGAAATGCTGAAGCCTACAGAACAAACATCGGTTATAAAAACCCGATACCGATAATTCCCGATATTACATTTTTTAGTGAATATCGGTGGAGGGCTGATATTATCGGACATCCCTAGTGTGAAGTAATAGTTCAATACACTAAAACACACAAAAATTGTTGTAATATTTTCTCCATTTTGCAGAATGTCCTGGTGACATACATCGGGATGGTGTTCAGTGGAGACTACATCTTCTCTTGGACTAACTTTATAGGTTTGAATATCAGGTAGGACTTGACTTGATGCTCAAATGTCTAGTTGTCTTCATAGATGGACAGATTTGTGCACCTAGTTGCTGGCCCAGGTTTTGGGTCCCTATGCAGAACTTACCCTCCAACATAAATCCTCACCCATCTCACATCAGACATCCATGGTTCCCAAATAATGAATCTCAATGATCCCTGAATGTTCAGTTTTGTTTTTATGAAAATATATAAATTATGGCAGACAAGAACTGAAGGCTTTATAATTATAATGTGATCTGTGTCACAGGCCCTAATAAAGTCATGGTGGCCCGTTTTGAATTTCCTAAACCAAATCAAAACCAGGCCTTCCAATTTCCATCGTTGACGCTTATTAGCCTGAAGAGTTCTGGTTCTGGTTGTAAACTAATTAATATTTGTTTTTTGAGAGCCAAAGAAAAAGTCACACAGATATCACTGACAGCGATGTGCCAATCAGCTGCAGGAATTTATATGTGCCTGCTAGAACTTGTTGGGTTGTATGATGCATTTCATGACTATTGATGTGCTGAAACATGTTCATCATACGCTGATCGCCACAAATGACATCATTTTCAAGACCCGTTTTTGCCTGCAACGATCAGATGAAAGTTTTGTATAGCCTTTCTAACATTAGTCAAAATTACTGATATGATAAAGCAGTTAGTTAGTTAATTATTAAAATCCTCTTTACTAAACACTATGTTAACCTGCCTTTTTATCACACGATTAGATTAAATCTAAACTTTGCATTTAGCTTCATTCTGTGTTTTTGTACTGGTGTGAAGTGTTTGTATACGTGAACATGCGGTCTTTGTTGCAGTATTGCGGGCAGCCTGGTGTACTCCTACATCACTCTCACGGAGGAGCAGTCCAACAAAGCAAGTGAAAACACCAAGCTGGACATCAAGGGCAAAGTGGTTGTATGACAGAAACACTGGATTTTCTTATTTTTATGCTGATGAACAGGAAAACTCTATTTTTAGTAGAACCTTTATTTATGGAGTATTTTAGCAGCAAAGGTGTTGACTGATGGGAATGGTGCTGTGTCCGTTTCCTTTCCATGTTTGTGTGGAAATGGAGCCACGCCGTCCCCATGACTCTCTTGCCGCTGCCATGGTTACGAACCCTCCAGAGGGATTGTGGGTTGATTTTTTAGATGGTGTTTTCTTTTTAAATATTTGTATTTTGATACTGTACATGTGAGCATTGAGAAGAAGGGAAACATGGAACCAATATTATTTATGTTACATCATTTCCTGACATAAAGACAAACTGAACGTTAAAAGTTAGATGTTGGAATGATGCAATGTTTCCTAAACGCAGGATTGAACAGCTGGAATGATCATTTGTTTTAAGCATGGGTGTGTACTGACGAATCGTGGGAATAGTAAGTAATGGTTATTTTAAAGGCACAATCCTTATTTCGTATTGCCTTTTCTGGTTTGCTGTTAACAAGGGATGTAACTTAAGATGCATTCTAAGCACAGCGAGATGCACTGACACTCTATCTGTTGTTTCAGTTTTTAGTCATGTACATTTCTTTTGATTTTTGCGCATACACTGTTAAAAGCTTGTTACAGACGAACGGTAATGACAGTGATCTAACCTCATCCTTTAAACAACCAAAGTGGATGGGCAGTGGGCTGTCGGTTCCCATCAAGGATTGTGGCTTTAAATAATGTTGCTGCCTCCTTTGGGGAGATAATTTAAGATTACAGTTTACATGTTGCTCTCTCAGTATTACAGAATTGTTGTTGTGGACTCTCAAAGGCTGTAACTGGTTCTCTCTTTGCAGAACTAACAAACAGTACTTATGGTTCATTGGTACAAGGGGATCCATTTCTTATTTTTTCTTGACACGTTATCGCACTTTTAACTGAGGTTGTACCTGCAAAAAGGGTGAAACCAAATTGCCTCACCTCCTGTTATGTTCATTGTTGAGATTGAGATTATTGTACTTTCCTGAAATGTATGTTTCAAGCAAGAGAAACATGGTTTTCTAAAACTTTTAGTCAGGTACAAGTGTTGTCTTTTCTTTTCAGTTTTTTACATTTTTATCTACATCATTTTATATTTATTACTTTTTTTAGACAAATTCCTTTTGTAGGTGGAGTAACTTGTTGATTGCTGATCTCATCTCAAACACAGTAACCATGGATTTGTAGCAATGATGTATTTTTACATTAAAAAAAACTTGACATGACGTATTCCTTGGGATTTGTTCTTCAGGTCATTTTAGTATTCAGCAGCTTATTTACAGAACATACTGTGATGCTCACCATCTAAGCATATCCAAGATTACTACGTTACTCTGTTTTCTCCAATTTCCTGAAGTATCTTACTTTAGTCTCATTAAAATTAGAGAAATGTATTATATATACACAAACATAGATGTATATTTTGTAATTATTCATTTTAAAACTTTCTAATGTCTCTCCATCCTGGATAATTCAACACAGTTCTGTGACTGAGGCGCTGTCTGTATTTGGAGCTTATGATAAACGAGTAGAGCAATGGTTCCCCCTTCTGTCATATCTGGCAAAACGTGACATCACAGTGGACCCGCCCACAGGATTAAATTTAGATTCACTCTAGCTCCTAAATTGTACACCAGGGCTGTATTCATTTTTTATTAGTACCACAAGGAGTCACCAAAATCCAACATTTTCATATCCTGCACATAGATGGTTTAGTTTTTGGCCACTTTTTGCAACTTACAGATCACACCATATGAACTAAAGTACTGTAAAAAGGGCTTCAAACCCTACACTGTTCACCCAACATATATGTAAAACAATCAAAGAAACTTTGAGGTCTAAAAGTCAATATTTCAACCTCATTGGCTCCATTTAAATCCAGTTTACTGAAGAACAGAACCACCACTCACCAACTGCACTGTGCATATATAATCTTAATTAAGTTTTGGCTGCACTTCCTGAGCTAATACTACAAATGAATCTAATTTGGGGAAGAGATGATGAAGCACATAACATTTTATTAAAAAAAAAAAAACACCATACATGTCAAAACATCTTCGTTACAAACCCACTACCATAAATAGCTCATGACCTCTGACCTCACTAGTCTTCAGGCAACTTGCATTCAGTACTACACAAGCCACACTAACAGTTATAACCCTCAAACAAAGTGAGAAACTGGCATAAATATCCACTAATTCATGTAAAAATGTCTTCTAAAATGTCCAAATATAGCTTTTATCTTTATGCACAAAACTGTCATTTTAAATTAATTTAAACATATAGGAATTTAAACTGGCCAAGCTAACGGGCAAGATAAGGATGTGTACAGTACAGTACAAAAACTACCAGGTAATATTGCATTGTGTTTGCTAGTAATGGGCACATAATAAGCACCTTCATCACTCCAGTCTAAACAAACCAAAGAAAAACGAGAAAGGAGTTTCAGAAACTGTACTCAGCTGCCTTTGCCCTGATTATGGAGGTGCTGTTGCTGTTGGTTTTACTTTGGTTTAATGAACTTAATGTAGGCCAACACGAACAGAAACAAGACAAAACTAATCAATAGAGGAGTTTCACGGATGCAGTTACAACAAGGAGGGGCCTTCATAGCACAAAGAGGTTTGTAAGCATCATTTCAACATGTGCAAGAAAAGACAGCAGAACTGACCACGGATCCTCTCTGCTTGATATGGAGAAACAAACAACAAAGCAAAGATATTCAAACTAAGATGATCTGACACCTGAGACCTGTGCGGCACAGAACACAACTCTCATGACTGC